TTACAAGCATGTCAGTAAACCACTAACTTAACCAGCGTGGAAGGTATAATTTGGAATGTGAAAATTACTTTCTAACTTTAAGCAGAACTACAGTATAAGGTTTAACACTGTGGTACAGCACCTCTACAGCGTTTCACGACTACTGCATAACTCTGCGGCACATAAAGCTGTCTGTATTTTACTATTTGCTTTGTCTTTGTAGTTTTTGTTGATGTTTCACCTATTAAAGCTTTCAGTTTCAGTATTCCAGTTTTGATAAAAAATTAATCAATAAAAAAATTTGGTTCAAAATTGTGTATACATTTCTTGTTTGGGACATCGCTGTAAGGATGTTTATTGTATGTTCTCAAGGCACTGTAGCTACTGACCCTTTATCTGAAACAAGATTATTCACTTTATTTAAGATAAAGCCTTGTATTGGTGAAGGGTAGCTTGAAGTTCAATGATCGTTCATCCTAGTTCATCCTAATCAGACTCAGTTCTCGAGAAATAACCAATGGATACAGTTAGCCAATTCTACAATGTTTGCATCTGCATCCAAACATTCCTTCAACAGAAGTGGATTATAGTAATTCTAAAACAATTAATGTTGTCATTTTAAGCGACTACTAGATTTACTGTACCAAAAACATAATTATTGTATGTCTCCAATTTCCATATCATCTCAATGTAAAAACTGCATCACCTCATAGATAGTTTGTTTCACTCTGTTGATCTCTGAACAACTGTTTAAAGCACCTGCTGAAAAGAACTGAAGTGCACAACAAACAGATAAAGTGTAGAAGAGTGACAATCACTGATGTGATTTATTAGAGTTGAATGGAAAACTTACTCATCATTCTAGTTGGGTTTGCAAATATTGCCAAAATAAAAACAGCATTTGAAAATAACTGGCAGAACAGGTTTATTCAGGTAACCCTTGTAATGTAATGAATACTAAATCTAATACTAAATAGTTTGGCTTGGAAATCATTTGCTTGTTTCTAAAAGACTCTCTGTCTCATACAAACAGAAATCAAAATTTGACATTACCATTTACTCAAGTTTGGATCTAGAAACGTTGCACAAAAAATACCTTCAGTCCTGACCAAATAAAACACTCCTTGCGTTTTAGAAATTCTATTTTAAAGCTACTCTGCAAAACATAAATCAGAGCCAGTAAGGTGATTAATCAGGCCACTCTGACCTAGGGGTCTGTATCAATACAACAGTTAATTAATGAAAGGTCATTTTTATCAGCATTTAGTTATGATCTTTAAACTAAACGTTGGCACACAAGCTACTATATGTAACAGCTTACGTAGATGTATTTCAGCACAGAGCACACTGCCCGTAGTGCTGTATTAAAAAAACTTTAGCAATGCTTAGACAAAGCCTCTGGCCAATGTGCACAGAAGCTAATTTGTTTCGGATTTCTTCTGGCTAATGCGAGATCACTTTCACAATACAGTTACACAGTAATGAACTCTATCAGGTGACACTCGTTGCTCATTGTTGCAGTATGACTCCTGACAACTGTATTACAGCTAACATTCTTAGTAATAAAGATGTTAAATATTCTCAAAACAGGATTTTGATACCATTGTAAGCCATGAGCTGTGTTTTTTTACATATATATATACAGTATCAGTCACAATTATTAAAACTGTTCTCAATGTGTTGGGTGTTTTGTTTCTATAGCTGTGGCTTTAATTCCTTCTTGTTTCATATTCCGTTTATTTTTTTAAGTTCTCCCGGAGAACTGGCTTTTCTCTGTGCCATACTGTTGAACACTGTTTGGTTGTATTGGAACATTATACCCATAATAATTAAAATTAGGTAATAGTAAACTTGATGTTTAAATACATAATAAACGACCCACTGAATGGATTCCATATACTGTATACTGTATCATTAAATGCAGTGAACAGTAGGCATTACTGGAACTACATAACTACAGAGTACAAATACCAACTAACTGAGGACCAGGTGATGACTGTGGGCTTTGTGAGTAAATCTGTGTGATTTATGTGTCCTGCCATTAGAAAAGGATAGTTTAACTTTATTTGCCTCTGTTAATACACTGAGAGGACTTGATGCAGAAACCAGCAAATATTGTTCTGGTTTCATGGACTACAGAGAGAGTTAAATGTTTTCCATACTTGTTTCTTATTAGAATGAATTAATAAAAGTAAAAAATATTCTGTTTATAGTGCTTCCGACTTCAAACTGTCAGTAGAATTCTGACAGAATAAACTGTGAAATGTACTGTAAGTGTCTCTAATCTCAGTGCTCCAGCCTCAGTCTCTACAGACACAACATCCCATTTCCTGCACTTAACAAAAATCCGGTTGCAATTAGAATTTTAAATTGCGGCTCCACAGGCAAACTCTACATGGTTTGTAAAATCGCAACTGTTTTTGACATCGCGGTGAAAAAGAAAAACGAACGCACAATAAAGGGATTCCAGATCTCCGATTCAGAAGCTGAGCTGAGAGGTGTTTGCGTCTCAGAAATAAGTAAGAATAAATCAAGCGAAAACAGATGACAACGCTGACTATTTGTAACTTACACCAGCGTGCAAGAACTCTATCGACAACATGCAGGTCAACCTCGTTGAACCTCGTTAGGAAAGGCATTGATACAGTAGAAAAAGAGGTCCAGGTTGTTCCTACAATATGAACATTTGAAGGTCAAAGGGTCTTTTCGTCTACAGTAGTATCTATTGCCTAGCCTTTTTTGGGGGGGAAAGTTTGCTTGGTGACATTTGGATTTAGGTTATAGTCCACACAGCCAAAGCTGCGTGCTGAACTCAGCTAAGGTCGCTTCAAACACAATCATTCATGAATTAAATGCCAGCCAAGTAACTCTGTGTTTTCTTAGTAAGCTTCCTCCTAACAGCTTAAAGCTCTTTTATTTCCCCCTAAAAGACTATTCTTGTTCCATCTACTTACAATTTATTACACACAGCTACATCTTGGGAGAAAGCACTTAACATTTGCAACTGCGTTTGGGAGACATTGCAAAATCAAACATTAAGTTACCATGGAAAACCCCTTGTAATTTATAGAACTCCTGCGCAGTATTAAAAGAAAAAAAACATCTTTCAAAGTTCACAGCAAGATTTAGACAGTCAGTTAAAAAAAAAAAGCTTTGGAGACTTCCTTATCATTAGGAGAGACTTATAAACAGATGAGTCATCTAATTAACAGCAGATCTTCAAGTTAGCAGTGGAAACTATAAAGAGCAAAAAGTTACATCCTTGATTCTTTGGCATTTATACCAGGACACTGGGGAGATGATAAGAGGAAGTACTCAAGGGGAACTGGAGTGAGATGTCTTATGCCTTCACAACAGGACACATTATTTTTCCTCAGCAGTGCAGAGTACTGTAAATCAGGACTTATCCTGAAGGTTTGGCCAAATATACATCTTCAGGTAAACAATACTTAAGCCCACCCAGTGGTGGGACAGCACACGCAACAGACTACTAAAAGTAATGCAGTAGTTAAAGCTCTGAATTCAGCAGCCTCCCCTTTAGGAAAACTGATATTAGTGATGCTCAAAGAGCATTAAGGACCACCTAGGAAGCAGCACTGAATAACATTGCTCTGTCTTGTAAGTGAAAAATAAAACTATCATCTGAAATCATGTTAATCCTGAAGATTTTATTAGAACACTCTTGTCACATGCATCAGCTTCTCATCGCATTTGTACTCAGAACTTTCTGCATTTAGTGGTTTTGTGTTAATTTTGCTTCAGGTTATTAAACAGTTAAGGACACCGACTTCACAATGATACTGTAAATACTCCCAGCTTTCCCTTTCATTTTTAAATGGGTCAAATCTCAGCTCCGCAGTACAGAGTTTTCACATTTTATCCTCGTACAAAGGTTAGTCTGAGAAAAAAGAAAGAGAAAGCACCTTGATACGGTACTTGGGTATAAGGCCTGCTGTGGGTCTAAACTTTCGAGTGCAAAAAAGCAAAGAAAACTCTAATTGATCATGCTTTGAAAGACAGAACCTTACAAATGCATTTATGTGTGATCAGGTAGGCTATGTATTTCTCAAGAGTTGTGGTATCATTCAATTAAGGCACTGTCTGAGCTGGGATCATGTGAAAAGAAGAGAAGCTATTTTCATCCCTGCGTAATATAAGACCACAGGGCTTTTAAACACTTAGGGACAGAAAAACATACTTCAGTTGAGTACTGCAGGCCACAGCTGATGAAAGGACCAGCATTACAAGTTGAGATTCAGAGGTATAAATCAAGTTTATAACCTACATCTTTTAGTGCAACAGTTTGAGAATTGGAGGACAGCATCTGTAACAGAGCTTCAGAGTTGGAAACCGCTTCAAAGCTGCATAACAAATACAAGTGAAAGCATATACAAGGCTGAAAAATACAGCCAAGTGCCCATTTAACTGCAAGAAAGCAACAAACATGCTAGTGCTGGGATTAATCACCTGGAGGCAAAACTTTAGCAGTTCTAGCAATTCCTGAAGCCACCTGTCTGTGTTTAACAAGATTTGCAAGTAATGTTGTACTATAATTAATTTTGTGTGTTGTGTACATCAAGCGAGAGCCGACATTCAAATCTTTAAAAAAAAGATCACGAAAGATCTTATAAAGGATTACTTCTGTATGAAACAGTGATCCCCATCCACCTAATTCATGTCACATTATTCACGATGAAGCACAAACAGCCCTGGGATTCTTGATTTTAGGGATATAATACCAAATATCTGCCTGAGGACACATGAGACGATGATCAGGAAATATATGTCTAGTTCATCTTATTTAAACCAGCGGTAAATAATAATACAGCAGAGCATTTTGTGAAAGGCAGGACTGAACCTTGGTGATAAGTGGCATAATTGAGAAGGCATCTTGAAACCCAAAACATCTGAGGTACCTTCAGATGCAGAACTCTCGGGGCTCAAAGTGCCCCTGACGCTTAGGACAGTAATCGGCACGTTCTCACCTCAGAGCCCCAAGGAAGACAGAAGTGGTGTCTTACCTTTTCTCCTGCGGCAGGTGTTTCTCTGTGCTGAAGCTGCTTGGCGATGTTCTCCTTCAGACACTGGCACACGCGTCTCTTCTGCTCTCCCGAATAGGCTTCCAAACTTAACAGGCACTCTGACTTCTTCTGACGCAAAGAGGAAAACACACAAAGCCGAGGTCATTACCAGAGGCACACACGTTTCTCTCTTCTTGAGTGAAAGCTCCTCTTTTAATGGGGTGTCTTCAATCCCAAGTGCTTTCTGCTTATCTGAGTGCGAAAGTGAAGCACTCTCTTCAGTAAGGGGAGAGAGAATAAAAAAAGGAACTGCTTTGTCTGACATCTAAGGCCCTAGAGTTGGTTGTAAAAAGGGGAAAAAAAAGCAACACACTACTGTAAATTTAACAGCAAAAGACGTCACTAGCAGTCTTTCAACTCTAGGGTGTAAGTAAAGCTTTTTTGCTGGAAACCAGTAAACAAAAGAAATTGTGGATTTACATGCTATGAAGAAGTCACTTAGTATATAGGGCTTAGCTTCTAATTTCCTTTGTCTTTATTATTCCTTGGTCTTTATTAAGAGGACATGGTTAACATAGTAATGGAATGCATTCTGCGGTATCAGGACTCTAATAACCTAAACATCTCACCAGCTGGTACTAAGAAACAAAATCTCCTCAATTTATTATGCTGAAACAGATACCAATGTGAACTAAAATAGTAAGACAAATAGTACACTTTTTGTAGAGAGCTGAAAATTACACAGCAGGGTGTTTGATTGTCTATAAAGGGATGGAATTTTTTCGACAAACTCACATTTGGTCCAACACTGCAAGCAATTGGACTAATGCTTTTAGTTGTGATAGAAAACTAAGAAAACTGTATGTACTGAAAAACACCATAGTCTACAGAGTGACTGGCTCAATTCACGATTATTTAATTAAACCTCTTTAGGACTGATTGATAAATCACACGTAATACTTCACAGTCAGTAAAATTATAAAAAGACAGAATGATTAAATATTTAGCCAAATCGAATCAGTGATCAATTGTTCTATCTGTAAAAAAAATACATTGTGTGTTAAAGATGTTGAAGACTTGTGAAAACAGTTTTAAAGGACCAAATTAACTGACAGGCTCTGCTGGATAAGACTTTTGAGGAGTGTCAACTTCAGAGAGTGTGATAAATGCAAAGCTCTCCCACCATTACACAGCACCGACCCTTCCCAGCACAAAGCTTTGGAAAAGAATCTGTCCACACCCCACACTCCAAGAGCAGACAGTGCAGATATGTTGTGTTCTATAAATGATCATGTGATTCTGTAAATAACAGCTGGAGCCTCTAATTTGAAAAGGTTATCATTCAGCATAGCACAAACTTCCTCTTTTTTTAGTGCGGGTGAATCGATTGGGAAAGAGATCTAAACCAACATAGTAAACAGAAAAAAAAACAGAGAATCATGTTAGCTGTTTTGTTAAGGTCACAGGAATTACATCAGCAAATTCTTAAGACATGCCCTTTAAAACACTTCCTTTTTTCCAACTTTCATCTTTTGAGGCATTTTTTAGTAGTTAAACCACTTATAAGAACTATAAGCTCTTAACTTTACCACAGCTGGTTCAAACAAGTAACGGGTATTTTACTAGTGCTGGCTTTTACAAAATCCAGATTATATTACTGTACAAGTGTTCTCAAGACCTACTTAAATCCAAAATAAAACCATCTCAAGATGTAACTTTTGAAAGTGCAAACGCTGTTTCTGTTGTGATGTCATAACACTGCAGCAACAGAAATATTCAAAAGTAAGAAAAATACAGTAAATAGTATTTTATCTTTATGAAGCAGATCTAAGTCAAGTTCCAACAGTTCAGTTTTGTGGGTCCAGTATTTAAGCTTCCAGATCAGGTCCTCAGTCTAATGGAACCCAGGATGTTGTATTATTATATTTACCTCGACGTTTGAAGATGCAGTGTAAGTTCTGAACCATAACCTGAAACACCCTGTTATCACACAGATCTTTCATTTAGCACAGAAGCCTCATGACTCTAATATGCAGTCTAGCTGATGACATCATCTTCCTCACTCCCCAGACTGAGGAACTGCTGACAGAACAGAGCCTCAATGCCTGATTATCTTCCCATATAAAGGTCTCCTATAAAGAGGTAGGCGTATTCGATTTGTTAGCACTTTTGCAGTATCCCCTGCTTGAACAAATGGAATATCATGTTTTTCTTACCAAGCTTTTTTCATGTCAGATTGGTCTACTTTCTCTTTAGCCATTGGAATCTGGGACTGTAGAAATCTACAACTATTATGCAAGTGGTTTTATTTCTGAAGGAGGATGCCCTCAAGGAAAGATATTACTAGAAAAACATCTGCTGACTCCTACAGTATGTAAATAGCTCCCCTTGATTCTTAGGAAATTTAGTTTAATTCTTTCTTTACACAGCTGGGTGACAAACTGTTAACACTACCAGAGCTGTCAAACTCTCTCTGGTATTTTCTACATCATCTCTGCTTGTTTTGTGTGAATTGGAATTCTGCAAATGGTTTGTTAAAACATTATGTTAGCTACAGAGTCACAAGGGAAGAGAGCCTTTTTATTTACGAAGTTGACACAGCGGCACAAGGAACACCATCTAAATGATGAACAGTACACACTGTAGTCTTCCTTGACACTGAACGGCAATATGCACGCAGTTAACTGCACAGGGACAAACACTGCAGCATCTAGAAGCTTGGTTTTGTGTATCATGCAGATCCTGTCATATACTCTCTAAGCAAAAGGCTGGTATTTATACTACTGATGCAGAAATGCTATAGTGAAACTACACACTAACACATTAGTATGTCAATTTGTCTGAAAATACTTTGTATAAACATTCTTCCTCCCTTTATTAGAAAGCAGGACTGAATTTTCAACCTTTAAACCTACTGACAGCATGGGTTTAGACTACTATGCGGCAGAGGAATCTTATAGCAAGGGATTCACATGCTACAGCTGAAGACATTAGGAGACCTGAGATTAAGATTGAGGTAATGCAGTAGTGCAGAGCAGCCTCAATAAAAATTCCTTAACTGTCAAACAAATCCAACCAACTACAAGCACTATATACCAGATCCCCGCCAAAGTAATGAAAAATTCCTCTTAGGAGAATAAGTGTAATGGTTTGAGTTGCAAAATAGAACAGTGCACTATCTCTCCATGTGTTGGATAAGCAATGTCAGAATCTCTCACCTTTTCACCTTCAAAGACTTCATTAGTGGAGCTACTGTTAATCCTCCTGGACTTTGCCTATCATTGTTATTTTATGGGATTTACTTCAATTTTCTAGGTCTTTTTTATTCCAGTTTTCAATCTAGAAAAAAGTACATAGCCTAAACAAGATGTTTTCCTCAAAGGACCAAGCTGTCTAATTTCTCCCTTTGGTTGGTATTAGAGGAAAGGACTGATAAATTCTTTAACATCCTACAGTTATTTATCATATTTACCAGGAGGGAAGATAGATAATCTTAACAGCTGCTTGTTTAGTAAAATCATACGTAAATATTTGGATTTAATTTCTCAGTCACAAAACCAACTTCTCTGCAAGGTTATTAAACAACCACTAGAAAACTAAACTAAAAAGGGGTGAGTCACAATCATCTCCACTATATTTATTAGTCTGTTTCCTCCTCCGAATGAGAACAGGAGACATGAAGTACAATAAAATTCTTATTTCTGAAATGTGAAATTGTCAAGCAACTCAGTTCTTTCTCACACTAAGAGACTGCAGTACTAAATGCAGACGCAGGGCATCTGCAGGAGGACTGATGCAGCTCCCATCAAGAACAGCGCTATAGTAGATCGCCGATACTGGCAAGGAACAGGAGGTGCTGTTGTAGAACAAGCTAAGGACAAACCTTGAAAAACCCCAAGGGACCCCCTCCAGTCACAGCACTGAGTTACTGTACGTGAGCCATCACCTGAGAAATTCCAATCAATGCTCTGATTCATTAATCCCAATCTAGCCCCCCAGTTTTTCAGATGGACAACACAAACCAGTTTCTTGGTTTAATGAATACCGTCATTTAGGGTTTAGAGCTGTTATGTCACAACGGCACTCGAGCACTTCGTGGTTAATCAAAATGACCCAAAGCCTATCTTGCATTCAATGCAGGACTAGTGCCTGGACAGAACGCCAGTCCAGTGTGAGGTGAAGAGAAAATGAAGAAATGGCTTTAGGAGGTGAGAGGAAACAGCTGCTGGAGAAAATCCATGCAGACTTGGGGAGAATATGCAAATCTCATCCCCGTCAGAAAGGAACAGCTGTGAGGTAAGAGCACAAACAACTATGCCCGGAGAAGCCTACCCAAGGAAGCTGAAGCTGTAGCATGACATTTCTCAATATCTGCTTCCCGTTTTCTTAAAGCCCTAATTCCCCACAACTAACAAAGGGAAAGAAAGTTAAGGAACTCAGTACCTGCCTGCCTCCTTGGAGGATTTGAAGCTGCAGTGACTCAGAGGCTGCTGCTGTTTTGATAGTTCACTCGCACATTACAGCAGTGACGGCTTTATTAGAGAATACATACCTCATATTTAAAGTCAGCACTCCCGGCTTCCAATAAACTCTTGTCAGCACTAAAGTCACAAAACACTTTTCTTTAGATCATTCTCTATTACTCAGCCTGTTCCTTTTTTGTCACTGGCTTAAAGCAGCACTGTTTCCCTACATCACGATAGGGCAGTATCACGAGGCATTGACATACTTTCACAATAACAGATAATAGAGTAGAGTTCCATCTTAAAATAAACTGCAATAACCCAAAAATATTGCAGCAACAAAAGGGCACTGTCACAAGCACAGTCACGGTGCTTATTAAGAATTGTATTACATGAGAGCAGAAGAATCTCAAAAGGCAGAGGAGGAAAGTGTTTATTTCTTTTCATTAAGAAGAGAAAGGAGGTTTGCATGTTTAACAGGGATAAAAGGAACGAAACATAAAGACGAGATGTAGATCTTTTAGAGCAGACGTACATGTGTTCGGCAGACTCAGGAGGTAGAGAAAGGAGTGATATTTTGCCGAGTGTTGCACAAAGGTGGAAGGGAAAGGTGCATTATTGTTAAACAAGCTATTTAAAGAAGCGGGAGAGACTGAGAAACTACAG